AGTTTACATAATGCAATAAATATAATGCAATATATATATATGTATATAAATATTCATAAATTATATCAATAACATAGTATGTGTTTTTGCAAATATAACTCAATATCACAGGAGTAAGGGAATATATAATGTCAAATAGTGCTGTCATAAGTTGTTATTTCTGTTGATTAATTGATGAATTCTTGCTCTTGGTGTATTTAGAATCCATTCTTTAAGATTTTTTTTGAATGATCTAATGAAGTTATTCTCCCTCAAGTAGAACGGAATCTCAGCATAGAGGACAGGACAAAGATAAGTAAAACATCTTTGAGAGACCGTTTTTCTGGTTTTGGGAATAAGAGTTGATTTTGATTTATACCGGGTATTATGTCTATGAAAAATTTGTTGAGCCTTATGTTTGAATTTGTGATGTCTTATCATTAAGGACTGTCTAATATCTAAGACTTGCGCTTCTTCAAAAAGTTGTTTGCTAGGGTGCCTATATGGTTTTTTTGAAAATTATTTTTAGCAGCCATTTTTGGGTGACTTCCAATTTCTTCAGATGATTATTTTTTATTCCTCCCCACGTGAGTATTCCATAAGTGATGTGTGTTTGTACTAGAGAGGAATATAGTATTTTCAGAAATCTCATATAAAATATTTTTCTGTAAAATCTGAATCTGTGTAGATGTCCTCTAAGCTTTTTTGTCACGAATGCAGCATGATGATCCCATCTCAGATGACAATCAATGATTATACCTAGATATTTCATTTTCCATCGATATAGCAATTGTTTTGTTATGAGAAATGATGAAATGTAATCTCTCAAATTCAGGCATCGTATTTACTGTGCTACAAAAGGGAACTATTACTGTTTTTTGAAATTGACGCTGAGTAACATGGAATTGAACCAATTTATTACATTAATGAAATCATATTCCACTAGAGTTTTCAACTCTTCCCAAGAGGAATTTTTGTAAAAGATAACCGTATCGTCAGCAAAGCTGACAATTTCGCCTTGGATCTCGAGACTAAACAATTGATTGAGGTATATGTTAAAGAGAAGTGGACCTAGTACTGTACCCTGAGGTACTCCATATTTTACTATGTGTTCACTACTCAATGAATCTCCAATTCTCACCGACTGTTTCCTGTTCGACAAATAGCTTGATAGTAATTCAAATGCTTTACCTCGAATTCCAGTATTCTCCAGTAGTCGTAGCAATTTTTCATGAGAAACAGTGTCGAACGCTTTTGCCAGATCAACGAAGATACATAAGGATCGATTACCTTCATCCATTGCTTGATATATTTTTGAAATTATGTGTGCCATTGCATCTTCGGTATATATTGGCTGTTTTCCAGGACGTCCCGCCAGTGCCAGAAATGGCGAGCACTTATTACCTGCCGGACAGTGGCTGTCCACCTCCTGCACAGTCCATCGCCTATCAGCATGCTCAGCCGGCCCATTACTGGAATCAGCCTGTAGCTTTCTACCAGAATAGCGCCCATCCAGCTACCAATACACCTCCGCAAAGATTTTCCTCGGCACCGATGTCGGCCGCACACGGACAGCAAGGTGAAGTTGATAGAAGATGATTATTTACCCTAACAAAATGAACCATCCTTAGCCGCTTTCCAATGGGCTCATATCACAAAAAAAATTTATTTCATAATTCGATAGAACTCACCCAAACTAGCTCACCACCGCGAACCGTTTCTTGCTGTGAGCTCCCTACGTTTTATAAAAAATTATTGAAATCCCCGATTTTTCGGACCTCTGAAAACGAGGCGATGATGTGACGTCAAAACCCTAATACTGATGAAACAAGACTATTCCAGACAGAGATGAATGATACATGATTTCTCACAAAGCACCAAGATTGGTGAATCGGCAAGTTGATTTTTGGGACATAGATGATAAGAACAAGAAGAAGATCAATTCTAACCTATATTAAGTTTCTGCAACTTTCGAATATTAAATTGAAATATTTCGACAAAAGTATGATTGAGAAATGTTCTGTGCCTAATTGCAATTAAAAAAACATCATTTAGTTGGGAATTTTGAGAACAAATCTAGCCCCTCACTGGGTAAACACAATATTATAGTAGTAGTTTTGCTTCGCAGAAATTCATAGGGAAATTGCTTGAAGAATGAATGATCCATCTCCTAGAAGAACATTCAGGGGGAGATGCAAGCAGTATCCAAAGCAGTATCTAGTCTTGGAAATAACATTGTTTCATACCAATTGATCATGTTGTTGCATAGGTAAACATATCAATCAGTGACTGATTTAATGAGGATTCTCCCTTGGAATCTCCATATGATGGGTATTCTGATGTTAAATATCCTTTCAGGTGAACAATTTTCCAATGCAACTATAATAGGTACAAGCAATGAAAATGGAATGAATATTGTGGAACTTACCTTTCAGATTTTCTATTCCTCATTTCAGCACTGAGGAACTGTGGAGATTTTCTAGTATGTTAGAGACATAAAAATAATTAACCATTTCCAAATCAATTTTCGGTAGATTATCTGATGAGCCTTTTACAAATCCTGATTCAACGTTCATGTTTATATTCAATATATCAATAATATGTATTAATATTAACTCGATAGTGCAACTATTACCCTCTACAGGGTAATATAAATTTCAATAAAAATTCACGCTGTAATTGCTAAACCCGGTATGATTCAAAACAATAAACACGTTCAAACTTTGACAATCATCTATTCTCAAAGTGACTCCACTGAATCCAACCCTTCACGAATCTTATTATGTTAGTCTTTGTAATTTTCGATGGTACTGTTTGTTTTTCTGGCCCATAGCATTCTGACACCATATACATGTTTTTCTTAACACTCATAATGTATTTTAGGTCTTATTTGGTCTGATGATGGCCGTTGTGTCGGAACCGGTCACTTTCTAATTGTAGTTTTTTGATATACAGTGTGGTTGACCGACTTGGAGCTTCTCTTTCATTTATGGACGTTCAAACTTCTTCACCTTATTATTTGATGAAGTTATAATAATTTTCTATACATTTGTAATGGCGAATCTTCAACAATAAGTACGCTACTCATTTGTTACCTAGCACACCATACTTTACAGAATTGTATGCATAGTGATCCACAATATTCAGAGAATATCAATAAATACAATTTGCATACATGTTCAGAAGGAAATAACCTGTCATTCAAAACAAAATACTTCCAAGTCGAACAATTACTTACTGCGTCAATTTCTTGGAGAAGCGTATTTGGTTTTACTGAGAATATGTGATAATAAAAATATATTAGCTATTTTGGGATTCAATTTGGGACATCTTCTCAGGGCTCCGAATTTCAGTGAATAAACAAAAAATAGTTGTTGTAGTACACCTGCAACTATATCTGAACATAACCTGAACTCATTCTGACAATCTGATGGTTAATAATAAGTAAGTTTATTAACCACTGTGCAATAAAACAATAATAACAAAAATAACTAGATTATCTACAAGAAATATACAAATCTTCAGATTCACACTCGGTAAACAAACTTCAAAAACCCACAAAGGCGAACCTTGAATGTGGGTATATGGAGCATGAAGCATAGTGTTGAAAAAAAAAGCTAATATAATAGTGAATAAATACAATAAACTTATAGAAATATGCTACTCGCAGCATGTTTAGTTTACATAATGCAATAAATATAATGCAATATATATATATGTATATAAATATTCATAAATTATATCAATAACATAGTATGTGTTTTTGCAAATATAACTCAATATCACAGGAGTAAGGGAATATATAATGTCAAATAGTGCTGTCATAAGTTGTTATTTCTGTTGATTAATTGATGAATTCTTGCTCTTGGTGTATTTAGAATCCATTCTTTAAGATTTTTTTTGAATGATCTAATGAAGTTATTCTCCCTCAAGTAGAACGGAATCTCAGCATAGAGGACAGGACAAAGATAAGTAAAACATCTTTGAGAGACCGTTTTTCTGGTTTTGGGAATAAGAGTTGATTTTGATTTATACCGGGTATTATGTCTATGAAAAATTTGTTGAGCCTTATGTTTGAATTTGTGATGTCTTATCATTAAGGACTGTCTAATATCTAAGACTTGCGCTTCTTCAAAAAGTTGTTTGCTAGGGTGCCTATATGGTTTTTTTGAAAATTATTTTTAGCAGCCATTTTTGGGTGACTTCCAATTTCTTCAGATGATTATTTTTTATTCCTCCCCACGTGAGTATTCCATAAGTGATGTGTGTTTGTACTAGAGAGGAATATAGTATTTTCAGAAATCTCATATAAAATATTTTTCTGTAAAATCTGAATCTGTGTAGATGTCCTCTAAGCTTTTTTGTCACGAATGCAGCATGATGATCCCATCTCAGATGACAATCAATGATTATACCTAGATATTTCATTTTCCATCGATATAGCAATTGTTTTGTTATGAGAAATGATGAAATGTAATCTCTCAAATTCAGGCATCGTATTTACTGTGCTACAAAAGGGAACTATTACTGTTTTTTGAAATTGACGCTGAGTAACATGGAATTGAACCAATTTATTACATTAATGAAATCATATTCCACTAGAGTTTTCAACTCTTCCCAAGAGGAATTTTTGTAAAAGATAACCGTATCGTCAGCAAAGCTGACAATTTCGCCTTGGATCTCGAGACTAAACAATTGATTGAGGTATATGTTAAAGAGAAGTGGACCTAGTACTGTACCCTGAGGTACTCCATATTTTACTATGTGTTCACTACTCAATGAATCTCCAATTCTCACCGACTGTTTCCTGTTCGACAAATAGCTTGATAGTAATTCAAATGCTTTACCTCGAATTCCAGTATTCTCCAGTAGTCGTAGCAATTTTTCATGAGAAACAGTGTCGAACGCTTTTGCCAGATCAACGAAGATACATAAGGATCGATTACCTTCATCCATTGCTTGATATATTTTTGAAATTATGTGTGCCATTGCATCTTCGGTATATATTGGCTGTTTTCCAGGACGTCCCGCCAGTGCCAGAAATGGCGAGCACTTATTACCTGCCGGACAGTGGCTGTCCACCTCCTGCACAGTCCATCGCCTATCAGCATGCTCAGCCGGCCCATTACTGGAATCAGCCTGTAGCTTTCTACCAGAATAGCGCCCATCCAGCTACCAATACACCTCCGCAAAGATTTTCCTCGGCACCGATGTCGGCCGCACACGGACAGCAAGGTGAAGTTGATAGAAGATGATTATTTACCCTAACAAAATGAACCATCCTTAGCCGCTTTCCAATGGGCTCATATCACAAAAAAAATTTATTTCATAATTCGATAGAACTCACCCAAACTAGCTCACCACCGCGAACCGTTTCTTGCTGTGAGCTCCCTACGTTTTATAAAAAATTATTGAAATCCCCGATTTTTCGGACCTCTGAAAACGAGGCGATGATGTGACGTCAAAACCCTAATACTGATGAAACAAGACTATTCCAGACAGAGATGAATGATACATGATTTCTCACAAAGCACCAAGATTGGTGAATCGGCAAGTTGATTTTTGGGACATAGATGATAAGAACAAGAAGAAGATCAATTCTAACCTATATTAAGTTTCTGCAACTTTCGAATATTAAATTGAAATATTTCGACAAAAGTATGATTGAGAAATGTTCTGTGCCTAATTGCAATTAAAAAAACATCATTTAGTTGGGAATTTTGAGAACAAATCTAGCCCCTCACTGGGTAAACACAATATTATAGTAGTAGTTTTGCTTCGCAGAAATTCATAGGGAAATTGCTTGAAGAATGAATGATCCATCTCCTAGAAGAACATTCAGGGGGAGATGCAAGCAGTATCCAAAGCAGTATCTAGTCTTGGAAATAACATTGTTTCATACCAATTGATCATGTTGTTGCATAGGTAAACATATCAATCAGTGACTGATTTAATGAGGATTCTCCCTTGGAATCTCCATATGATGGGTATTCTGATGTTAAATATCCTTTCAGGTGAACAATTTTCCAATGCAACTATAATAGGTACAAGCAATGAAAATGGAATGAATATTGTGGAACTTACCTTTCAGATTTTCTATTCCTCATTTCAGCACTGAGGAACTGTGGAGATTTTCTAGTATGTTAGAGACATAAAAATAATTAACCATTTCCAAATCAATTTTCGGTAGATTATCTGATGAGCCTTTTACAAATCCTGATTCAACGTTCATGTTTATATTCAATATATCAATAATATGTATTAATATGATATAAAACAAGATTTGGAGGTTAATTTCATTACGTGTCTTCTCTTCTCATTTTAGACGACATAAATAATAACTTCGGAATCGGAATTCGAGACCCGATGCAAATGCAGCTCCATGTGAAACGGGTCAACAAAGCAATGTTGCTGCGTTCATGAAATATATTGGATTATTGTGAAATTGTCATGGTGCAAATGGTTTTGTGATTGAGACATTTCGTTGTTCAGAGATTGTTTATATTCTAATGATTCAACCTACCATCGACAAGTTGAATATATTTTTCTGCAGTAGTGGTAGTTGATATCAAAAGATATTTCAATATCGATTTCGATCTCTCGGATATTTTGTTTAGATGATATGGCAACAGTGATAAGTGTCACACATGGGTCACTCTATGGGTCACGCTCATTGGTTCCAGGCGAGATGAGGTTTCTACGTCATAAAGAGGGTCCGTTTTCAGAAGGTACTATTATTTATGTCCAAAAATAAAACATTCCAGTTAATTTTTAGATGGAATTATGTCGTCAATCGTTATTTATGTATAAAAGGATCATTATAAACATGGTTTGAGTTGAAAGTTCTACTAATGTGTACACGTCCATTGTTGTTGTTGTTCTAAAATGGTTCTTATCCATCATTCGGTTGCTCCCTTACGAGCAACCCTCAGAAGTCTTCAAGAGACTTGTGCGAGCAAGGAGTGACGGGGGTCTTACCTTTTAACGTGTGATCCCAAACACTTTCTTAGGCCATCAGAAGAATTTCTGCTTTCGTGGTGGGACTGAACCAGGATGTTGATTTTGGAACATAATTTTTATCCAAGTATTTTTAGTGACATTTCATTGACGGATTTGGCAAGAAATTTGAATTTGAATTTTTGTGGATCATATGATTTTGGTAGGTGTAGTGAAAATTCTAATGATGAGGCTGAAGTGGATATTACGATAAAATGAAAAATGATCCGAATCAAAAATATCATAGAAGATACTGTGTCTTTGTTGTGTTTTTAGCTTTAGGGTAGACCTTCGCTGGTCCTCCTGGTCCAAATATATTCTATGCTGTACTCCGTTTTTGAGATCATCTAGGTATTATTCATGATGAAGAGAAGGTCGTTAATTTGATTGCTGTTTTCTACTAACATCTAATAAATGATACTTTCGTTATTAACAAAACCAAAAATAATTATTTTAAAAGACAAAAATGCATTTGACGCGCCTGACAGAAAACTTTTTGCTTTGACATATACCTGACTATTTTTGAGTTTGTTACCCTATTATAAAAGCTGGTGCTCGAGGGGAAGGAGGTAGGTAGCATTGATCAGTTCGAGTGCTCCAAGCTCTTTGTAATGGGAACGATGTTGATCAGTTCAAGATCTGCTAGGAGTTACTTGGAGATCTTCGCTGTGGCAATGAGGGCTAACATTATTTATTGTTCTCCAAACCGTGCCACCGAAACATGAGGTCAGGGTTGGTAGAACGGTTAAATAATGATAATGATAAAAATAATACATCTTTATTCACCCAAAGTACATACAAACAAGGATCCAAGCGGAGATACGATATTACAATAATTAATGGTGAAAGGGCGAAGTATCAGCCTAAGCTGTTTTTAAACTCAACCGTTCTACATAAGATGATAGCACAAAAAATTAAGAAGAATTGATATACTTCTTATTTTTGTGTCATTTATCCTTTTGCTATGATATCTCCTTCTCCGTCAATGTAAGAATTGGTCCCACATTGGGAGTGAAAAAACGTAAAACGGCTTACCTCTCGATAACTTGAGGTTTTCAATTTGTTCAAATATTCCACATAATTGTTTCGAATATTTTCGATAAAACTGGCCTTAGCTTTTAGGGCTACCCGGCAAAATTTCGGGATTTTTTACTTTGACATTGACCTCATGTTTTAGTAGCGCCAACTGGTGAGAGTGTAAATGTTAGCCCTTCTCGGAAAGTGGCTCTTAAGAGATCAACGAAGTCAGAAATTCTATTCAGTCGGGGCGGTATCTATGTGAACTTCTATCTGTTGAGTAGCGAAGGGTAGTGATCGGTATTGAAATTTAATGCAGACTGAATTCGAAGTTTATTTCTTGATGGTTGGGTCACGGAACTCGAAAGACCTAGAAGGCCAATGCAAGTGTGAAAAATAGCTGAAATCCGATACCTCCAGTGTGTGTGCGCTGTAGTTCAAATTTCTTATGAAACTTTTTTAACTAATCAGTAAAAGCTTTACAAAAACCATGTTGAAAATTTGTACGACAAATTTCATAGACACACTAATAATAATTTAATGGCCAACAAGAGATACATGAATTATTATGGAGTTCATCTGGCAACTATGTAAGTGTAAGAATGTACCTTTGTCAGTTTGTCTGACGTGTACTTGAAACAGTCGGATTAGTTTCAGCTATGCAGTGTTTTATTTTGCATTTAACCTGTCTTTCATGGTGAAAGGGGCACTTTTCTTCCCAACTTTTTTGTTGATGCAATTTTCGACAGTTCGACCAGAAAATATGGAAATCTCAACATTTTTACTTATACATTTTACTCTTGTTAAGGTTCGATAGCATTCACCATTTTCGAGATGAATCGATTTTGAAATTCTGCTGCCTAATAAATATATTGCTATTTTCTTAATAGGATACCGAAAAAATAAAATATCAGTTTTAGAAAAATATCTAAGTATATCTTATTTAGAACAATGAACAATCAACAGATTTGAATGAGAGAGTAAATCAAATTGAGTCTTAATCTTTCCGACCTTAACAAACCATAAAAGTGAGGTTGTTCACTTTCAGGATTGGTCATATATATGTCAAACTTGCACTGAACAAATTGAAATTTTATGCATTCATTTTATTGTTAACTGTTCTACGATCTGGTGATCTGCTCAGCGAAAGGGTCACCATAGAAAGAACATGTTTTCCGTTTTTTTTGTAGATATTGACTGATTGATGGTACCATAATTATTATTTGATTTCTTTTAGGTTACTTGCCTACAGGATATCCTTCCAACTATATAGCAGCTCCTTCACAACCTCAAGCAGGTCAATCCGAGCTAGTGCCAGTCTATCCTAATCAACCGCTGCAGGTCGTCTACCAGAATCAGCCGAACCCTTCCAACCCAATAATCTATCAAAATCAGCCGCCGATAATCTACACGCAAAATCCGATGTATTCATCGACGTCTAATTATCCACCTCCACAGGTGACGCCCCAACAGATGCCCTCTTATCCACAGGTAATAATTATCCTTCTTAGAATAACATTATTATCATCAAAGTAATATTTGATTGCTTCCATTTGCTCTAATATTTAATAATTTCACCGAATTATGAATTTCGTTCGTACTGTCAAACTGAGTGTCATTTGTCGAATACATGGTGTTTTGTCAATGTTACTTACAATTGGTGTGAAATACAAAGGATCCAAGAAGTTATTTTCAATAATTAACAATTCAACAGCTTTTCTTTCGTTGAAATAAAATCATTTCGACAGTGGCGCCAATTTTATTAACATTCGAAATATGACACCTTTGCCAACCTCATAATACAAAATCTGTAACCCTCGAAAATTAATCGACAGTACTGCTTAGTGGGTATTTGACAAGGCATACACAGTACACATAATATAGAACAAAGAGCTACGTCAGGAATGTTTTGCCTGGCGTAGCTTTTTGTCTCCTATTTTAGTACTTCCTGTAACAACTTTTGCTGATGATGAATCTTTAGAGCTTCGAAACATATCCGCCAATATTGATTAAAATATAGTTTTGGTGGAGTTGACTGTAAGATTTTCTTCCTGCCCAATTACCATTAACAGGTACGTGGCTGTACCCTTTGGGATGTGGGAACTTTGCCCTATATTAAATATTATCAAATTTTGATATCTCTGTATTTTTATTTTATTTATTTTATTTATTTACGGGAAACCCTATTACATAAAAATAATTCTAAAGGTGAATATTATTGATACTGGTCTCAAATCTATATAATGAATCTATATTATGAGAGAGCTCTATGTTTCAAAGTACAGATTTAACCAGTGTTTTGAAAATATTAAAAGACTCATGAAATATGTCAAAACCTTTTTTATTAATTAATCTCAATGTTCTCCCAATAGGTGAGTGTTGACCATAATTGGTAACATGATGAGATATTCTAAATAGGTTAGCATTTCGTAATGTTCTGTTTGGTATATTGGAATTAACTCCAACAACTATGGACGAATAACCATTCCTTCAATTGATTCAAAAATGAAACAAATAGGTATCAGTGGTTTTTCTGCGATTTTTTAAACTCTGCAAATCAATTTCCCCACATAAGAAAGCATAATCATGGTTTTCAATAACATTACACAACATTGCTGTTGTCTTTCTTTTTTTTCACTTCCACTTTCTAGTGATATTTTCTGCTGATAATAGTCCGAAACACGTTAATTGTTATAATGATTATATAATTAATGAAATATAATATAATGATTGTTATAATGATAGTAAACTTGTGTGAATGACGTGTTTGTGCGTTTTGTTTTTGATTCCTCTATACATCATCAAGATAAGGCTGGTTGGTCCTTACTGAACTTTATTATATAATAATAATTATAATAATAATTCTTTATTTACCAAAAACACTCACAGTGGGTTTCGTCAAATCAGAGTCCGGCAGAGTCAGTACAAACTGACATGTTTTTACATATAAAATGACATACTTACGTACTTATTAATTACACATTGAAAACATAAACATTAATTAGATACAAAATAGTAAAATATATTGAGCTTGTAGAGATAAAGAGAAAGAGAAAGAAAGAAAATGCTGGTTGGTCCTTACTGAACGTTTATGATATATTGAACTTGTAGAGAGGACAATGAGATGATGTCTTTTTCAATATATTATGCCAGATGTTATTTCGGCAACTAATTGTATACCCGATTATTTTCATCAGGGAACACCGACACCAAATAGCTGTAATTCGTCGGCTTCAGGACAAACTTACCTTCCCAGTTCCGGGCATGATGCACATACTTTCCTACAACTGGCGCAGAGCATTCAACAACTTAGCCTGGGGGCGAATATGCAGGGACAGGGATTCTTGACCAATAAAGGTGAATATTTACATTGAAGTTTGCAATAAGTAGTGCTGCCTCTTAATTAGGGTGTCTACTTCAAAAGTTGAGATTATTTTCATTCACGCGTTCCAAAACATGTGAAAAAAAGGTGAAATTTCGAACTTTCTCGTAAAATATCTCGATAAATAGTGGTTTGTTCAAATTTTCATCATCAAATTCGTGTTTTTCAGACAAAAATACGTAGGTTCAAACATCTCATTTGAAAAAATTAGTGCCTCATGAGCACTTACTGTATTTATCTTCATTAGTATGAAAAACATTTGATGGAATCTATGGCAATTCTGCAGTCTCTTTCATATTTCCTCGTATAAGCCTCATGAAAAGTTACTGTATTTATACATTTCACAATTTTTGACAATCACCGACACTATATTTCTTTTTCGGAACATAGCGATTTTCATTACGTTTAAACATATTCTTCTTCATCCCGGGACAATCTGAACATTTTTTTTTGCACCTTGTATATCCATCGTCAAGGATAAATATAAATATCATACTTCTGGAACTACAACCGTATTTTTTTTATTTTATAATTTATCTCAACGAAAATGCATCATTTTGATAAAAAATGCGTACCTTCATTACAAATCACAAAACCATTTCGAGGTCAGACACCAGACATCCTCATGACGAAGTAACACTCCATAATTTCACTAGTAACACAGAAAAAATTATGTTTCAACAACTGAAGACTATGTTGTTCTCCATTCCATCAATCAGTATTTCTTGTATCACTTGGTACAGACTTCTTCAGAATTTTCTATGCTCGAACACAATCACACAACGTTGATTCTTCGAAATAGAATTCCAACTTCCAATTTCGTTCAATGTTATCTGAAATTACAGAAGTTTCATATTGCCACAACAAACTGTCAAGAGATTAGGCTAATCATCGGTGAACACCGATTTCAAATTGGTATTTCATCACATTATTCGATCGTTTGTAGGAACACAGATACCGCAATACGAATACCGCCAGCGCGGAAGCAATAATACCTGCCTGAAGAGCAAGCCGTTCTGCAAGAACTTCGTCATGGGTTCGAGCCAGAGCAGCACGGGAACCAGCTCGCCCGCCGCCACCGTCATAGCCGGATACTGCCCCCCACAAAACCCCATGGGGATGTACCGAACACCCCCCGAAACGCCTCCTGCCCAGTTCTCCGCCTATCCTCCGAATTTCAATGTACCTCCAGTGATTTTGCGGCAGGTAATAGCAATAATACCCTAGAACAGGGATACTCTGAACTGCGGGGTAAATTGGAACAAAACTTCAAATTACCCTCTGAAATCTACAGCTGGTTTCATTTTGAAATGCGTATCGTGCATAGTTGTTCAGTATGGTTATATACTTATTGATTGATTGTCTTTATTACCCCCAAGAAATATTATTGTTTATTATAAGTATACAGTGTGTCCCACTTACCATGCTCACCATGGGTATCTTTTTAACGGTGAGAGATACGAGGTCGGTTAAATGACACCAAATGTGGAGTTTGTCAAGGCCAACTATAATGTGAAAAAATATTTCGATAAAATCTATTCGTTTTTGTTTTATACACAAAAAACAGATTTTGATCATTTTCATGTCTCCTCCATAACTTCTTTTTTTATGAAAATATTCAAATAGGAATATCACATTCTCATAGCAGTTTTTCGAAGTGATTTCGAAAAGAATATGAAATTTATATCAACTCTTCTAGAATTTGAGATATCAGCACCAACTTTAGTTTTTCAAATGTAGGTCATAGCTCACTATGACTTAGTTACAAATAACTTTTTTTTCTCTTCCAGATGATATGTCCCAGTAATAGTTTTGTGTTGATAACAACGGAGTTATCGTCATTTATACAAAAACAAAAAATTATTTAGCAGATATTCAATTCGCATATTCTAATACGGGAGTAGAAAAAATACTATTATTGTCAAAAGAATAATTTCAATTTTTTTATGCCAATGGGATATAAGATTGGATAACTCTATAATTGCTATTGTGTATCAGACGAATGGAATAAAAACGATAATGAATATACGGGGGCGTGTTCGAAAAAATGCCCAGGCACGCCGATTGATATTTTTAGAAACGCATCTTTTTCAACAAAAACTATACAGGGCGTGCCATGTAGCAGCGGCCCATACCAACTTTTTTATTTCTAAAGCAACACCCTGTATCCCATTCAATTTTCAAATTCCTTATAAAATTCTTGACGTACTTTATGTAAAATCTCCTATATCCATCTTTAAGTGTTTTGGGAATATTGAGAATTTTCAGATTTATTGCAAATTTTTGTCTGACTGCATGACAGTAGTTGTCAGTGTTATATTCGTTCGAATTTCTTAAGCCGCATCTCAGAAAAATGCTCCATTCTACAGAAATACACAAAATAACAGTTCTACAGATGATCAGTTATGAATATAACACACGTACACAATAGGCGAGGGGAATATTTTATTTATTTTCGAAATAGATTTTTTAGATAATAAAACCATCAATATTGCCACGGTAATCTTCAAACGGCAAGAATTTTGCCGCAAATAAAATTGAAGTCACGATTTCGTAAGTAGGGGCAGACCATAGCACAGTTGCCATATGTTGAAATATGAATGGGAACTCCAGAAATATTGAAAAGGATGAAAAAAAGAACAAACCCAAAGTCGGTCGACCGACCAATGCAAAAAAAACACCCTATATATTTTCATCTCTAGTAAGAGTTTTCATTCAGTATTTGTAAGAACTTTATAGAGTGACTCTTGAATTAAGTTTGAGATAGAAAGTTCATATGAACATTGCAATGGTTCGAGAACATCTCATTAAATGTAATGGTGATGAATTTGCCATTGATTTTTCTCTCTCAAACAAAATTATTATATTTCTCGTGTTTCATTTTTTCAGATGAGTAACCCTAGAGCAAGCACACCTGGAACAATGAGGAGTAGTCGATCTCCAACACCTGCCAGCGACATCACGCATTTTGACAGGCAACGCGTGTCAATTCCTCCGAATGTGTATCAAGGGATGCCATACGTAGTATCTGGTTAGTATCCACTTAAAATCACAAATTTCGCAGTACTTCGCGTGTTTCATCGTTTACTAATGTATTTTTCATTATTTACGAGCGCAAATGCTGCCAATCACTTTTTCATAAATATCGTGAACAACCAATAAAGCAGCTAGACCACCATAATCCAATACAAGAACCACCAACATAAATTACTAACTAGACCGCTAATGCTACAAGATAAAGGATCATTAATTTACGAGATCGAACTTGTTTCCATGGAGCATGCGCATTCATGCTTGTCAAATATCTCGTTCTTACTTATGTTTCCGAACACCAAGAGATATGACTCGATGTCATGAACGACATTTTGGTAGTTCCTGCCTCTACCTCCTCTCCCTATCCTCGCTAGGTATGCATGATGTTCTTCAAACATCATCGGATCATGCGAGCAATTTGAACGAGATTTTCGGGTTGCTGATGGGCTATGACATATAGTTTTCTAGGTAGTATAGCTATGTCAGTGACAAGAACTTTACACCAAAATATTAGCTGTTTGGAAACTTCAGTGTATTATAGGGCAAAGTGAAATGAGTGTCAGTTGGTACCTATTTATTAGTGTTCCTTAATGTACTTGTCGCTGCTGTTTGGACGTTTTTTTATATTTGAGTATTGACAAGCTCTGACAGTGGCTAAATCAAGATATATACATAGGGTTGGCTCATTTTTATCTATTTATTCATATAAGTTATTTGTTAAATAACAAATAGCATGCTGAATCAAAATTGTCTATTTCACAAGAATTTTCGTTTATTCAAATAATTTACTGTTCTGAATTTCAAAATTTTCTCAAATACTTTTGACAAATTGGAAAAGAGTGTTATTGGTCTGTAATTGTTAACTTCATATCCATTTCCGCATTTATATATTGGTTTAATGATACCAGTTTGAATGCTTGTGGACTTTCCTGTTTGGAATATCACATTTATCAGAAATGAAATTGGTTTACATATTATACTTGATAATATTTTCAATATTCCTGATGTTATTCCATCTTTTCCAGGACATTTCTTCAATTTTAATGTACCAATTGTATTCTCAGTCCGTTTTTGAATTCATTTGCAGTATAGATATGGTTAGATATCATTTCTCCAGAATCTGATTTAATATCCTTAATTCCATTATTTTTTATATTCTTACGTTTCCTAGACTGAGGCACAATATAGTCTAGTGCCGCATTCTTCAAAGAGACAGGGAACAATGCCTTGAGAATTTCAAAACTATGAAAATATTTATGCATTAATTTTTCATTTCAACATTGCTGAAATTGCTGACGTATCAAAAGGTAGTAGGTTCCAACGAACTCAGTGCACTGTCATTATTTTAGAGGGCGAAGAAATGTCACATTTATTTCCGTTGTTTTTTAAACATTAAGTATTGTATTTTCAATATTAAATTAATGATATCATAATAAATATCAGAAAATGCCTGTTATTAAAATAATTAACGCTTAGAATAATATTCAAAATTCACCAGCTGATCAACTGCTGCTGATTACTGATGAAAACCATGAAAACGTGTTTCGAATAACAGCACTGTATTTTTCATTTTATATTTCGGAACACAGATTTTCAGCAGAGTCAGTGGATTTACTGACAGTACTGACCAGTTGAATTCGGAATATAGCCTAATATACAAAAAAACGTCAAAACAGCAGTATCAAGTAGCTTAAGGAACTCTACTATTTATAATGTTCGAAGTAGCATGAAAACTGTGATGTGGGATTCATTGTGAACCTAACTTTTAACGTCAGATGCGATGTCAGATTATGTTATTCAGATGTTAATCTGCAACTTCTTCTCAGCCCAGGTATTGCATTTTTTTAACATGCAGTCAATTTAGTATTGTGACTCATGTGTTCTTTAGGTATTGATACTGTTTAATAAGGTATGTCAGGAGAATCTACAGCTCGTACTGCCTATTTAGAGTAAGAAGATAATCAACATGACAAAATATTTGGTTACAAATTCATTTTTTAGGGTAAATAAACATTATGAAAATGATATATTGAGCACTGTTCAATTAATATAGGTAAACAAAATAGCTATTTATGTGTCAATGGCGTAAAATATGCTTTCATTGACCGTAGCGATAGCGAGGGTTATCAATACGCCTTAAGCGAGTTACGCCCGGAATACATACAACATTTTATGCACGACCGGTATATTTCATTTTTCATTGTGAATACTTCTTCACCTCTCAAAAACGATAGAAATACATCATGGCTGCAGTGATCATTGATGGAATAAAAATTTTGAAAAAGGAGTGGACTATTATATTTGCTGTCAATTAATCACTACCTGTACCCTACACTTTATGTACAATACACCACACTTCATCACACTTCCTACATTACACTGCACTATCTAAAGGTTTTTCCAACAGACCAATTGTTACTCAGAGTCCTCCATCACATTCTGCAGCGCCCTCAACGACAGGTGAATTCTTGATTAGCGATAGTGGCATCACTTCAAATAAAGGCACTGATATATACTTGGAATTTTTTCAGCTGCTGATCCTAGGCTAATTCCTGGCAGAGGACAACCTAACGTCTATAGGCAACCTGTTCCTCAGATTACGAAACCAACAGGTTTCAATCAAGGAAGTGATAATAGATCTCATAAAAACCGAAAGACAAAGTGAGTTATTGCAGTGACAATTTTTTTTTTGGTCAATGATATTTGTATTGAATCAGAAGCATAGTCATTCTGTTGTTGTATCAGAAGGAACAAATTGGCAATTGAACTCTCATTAGTGCATTAGTACACTTTTTCACAGTGGCTGATCAAGACATTTCGCAGACTGAGACGCAATATATTCTAGCGCCCCCTTCTTCATAGAGACAGGGAACAATAGGCGACGACTGGACTATTTTTTTTATTTCTTAAATAGAATCATCACTCAAATACCTTCCAATTTAATATTATCCGAGAATTTTTGGTCGACTTTCAGGTGTTGAAATCACAATAATGCCACGGTAATTTTTCGAAGGGCTAGGAATTTGCCGCCAGTACAAACTGACGCCACGTTTTTGTAAGTAGGGGCAGGCCATAGCACAGTTGCCATGTGTTGAAATATGTTCATTCCATTTTTGTTGCTAGAGCAATCAATTATTCAGAATAAGTTAACCATCATAATAAGAAAAAGGGTTCCTCAAGAGGTGAACTATTTTTATTGTAGGCACCATGCACATGTTTTTTTTTCGTCTAGGTGGTTGAAATCCTTCATGGACATCATATAGGTCTAATCCCCCATTTGATAGTTCGAGAGTCCCATGACTCCAGAGTATACCCACTAAATACTCCACCCCGTTCGTAGGCTCGTCTGACCGATGTCTCCGACGACACTTAGGCCTAGTGGCCCATTGTATCTCACCTACATGCCGTTATCAATTTGACCATATACCACTCATGGTGCTTGTTAAGGACCACTTCAATTCAATTCAATGAATGGTCCTTTCCGTTCAAGTTCTTGAAGATTGCTCTTTCGATCCCTGTTCTCGACTACGAAGGAGGCCAAAAGTGTTCCTTCTAAAAGTAACGGAGGAAGGGTTTGGTTCAGCCCTGTGGTGCCCCCTGCACAGGGCTAAGGCTCTTTACTCTGAGATGTCGCCCTGTTTCCCAGAGGCCCCGTTAGCGACACCATATCTCGGTGTCATTCATCCATCGCCACGGGTTCCCACAGCTTGAATTAGGTTGCCAGAGAGAGCCTCGTTAACCAGTCCTCGGCCACCTAGACAGATATCAGCAAATCGCTCCAACTTTGCCACAGATGTCCACAAATTATTGTTCCATCTGGCGCCAGACAGCAAAGATGGTCCCAAAATGCTTCATCTGTCGAGCGGCCGCGGTCTGTTCTCCCCACGCCATTTAATGGTTGTGCTTAGAGGGGAAGAGGAAAAGAGAAGTTGGCCACGGAAGGTCGATAGGATAGATTGAAAAAAGGAAGAGAAAAGGGGATATCACCCAAGACAAGTTGAAGTATGGCGAATATACGGCTAGGGTACCTCGGGTTTACCATTCCCCTACTCACAAGTTGTGAGCCCCTGATGGGACCATGCACATCTTAGTCTCTATAAGAAATTTTTGATTGTTTTTGTTTCAGAAGTAATAAAATGTCAGGTTTGCCACCAAGCGGGAAATAAGCACACTGAACTGTTGAAAGTATTTGGACAAGACTTTATTTATTAATTGAAAAGGACATTCGAAAAAAAATACTCTAACTTGACATTATTCAGAATGTTTACATAGAGTTTTGAGCTGCCCGAGTGAAGGTAAGGAGTTCCTTTGAATCCATATTATTTCTCAGTATATTTTCTACTGATTTATCTCGCAAGTTTCTACCGAAATCATGCCAACAATAAGAATTGCATTTTCATTGTGTTCTTTTTTGAATAATAAGAAAATTAATAGAAGAATTTCTGAACACGTAGAATTTTGGTTATTGGCATAACAGTAGAAACGATGCCTTCTTGAGAATTGCTTTTGTGAAAATTTAAAGACATTTAATTTCATTTAACCAAAAAGATTTCTTAACGAATCTTGCTCAACTTCTGATTTTCAACGAGAATTATCCCGCACAATATTTTTTATACTTCTCTTTTTTTGTAATTGCTATTTTGTTGAAAAATAAAATTTCACTCTTTCAAGATGACTAATTTCTTGTAATATTTTGGAATCGATCTTTTTATGAATGGATGCCAAGTTGATGCAATACTTCCATAATCATTTTCAACATATCTTACGTTCGCTGCATCAAAAGAGCGGCAGAAAATGTTCAATATGAAAATGAATGAGTATACTCAACACTGTCCAGCATGAAATGATCAAAATATTTGTCAGAACCTGTGAATGCCCTGAAGACAATCTATTTTTTGTTACTCAGAATTTGTTGTGATTTCGATATTCCATTTCCTTGTTGGTCAGCTGAATCATGTGACATATATTTTCCATTCATGCGTCGCAGAAAGAATAAGAAGTATCGAAAAGACTCAGTCTCCACAGTATTCTTGCAATAAAATTACTCCTAATCTCAATTTATCATGTGATCTATTATTCTCAACAAGGATCTGGGATGCATTTTGTGATTCAACAGAGTGTCCACATTTAGTTGTTCAAATGTGCTCTGTTGGAAGGAGTTCTTTCTGATTAGGAGCCTGTTATAAATGTTTGTAAATTGTGGGACCTCTCTTGACAATTGTTGAAAAATAGAAATGATTCTCTGCTATTCTCATAATTACCTTGTAGAAAAATATGTTATTTTGCATTCAGATATTACATTATGCTTGACAGCAAATATCTTAATTCTTAAGTTGACACATTACTCGTGATTACTGATGTTTAAGTAGGATGCAAATGAACAGATTACAGTTCTCCTTCTCATAATTAGATCTACAAGCAATATATACTGCTACCAGAAAGAAATTGGACAGTTTACGAGCGTTAACTTCTTTGAAGTGGGCATAATTTTGTTATATCAATACAAAGATCATACACACTCTAGATAGATGTGATAATGTGAGAATGGGCAGCGCTCAGTTGGGACGTAACAGAGCAGTGGGTAATAATCAGCTCTGCGCATCTATTCACCATAACTCCATTTTACTGACTCCAACAATAATATTTGCCGATCAGCCGCCGATTTTATACGTCCCATCGGAGCGTTGCAGATTCTAACACAGGCGTGGTCTATCTAGAGTGCGTATCATCTTTGCTTAATATGACCCAATTACAATTTTTATTTCGATGTAATGAGCATTATTCATAACATCATTGATTTGTTATATAAGAGATCTATAGTAGATTTTTTTTACATTCATTTCATCATATCAAGTATATTCAGAATGTTCTTTCTCCAGAATTTCTGTTAAGGATTTCAATGGAAATTAACTACATACTACATCTATCCAAGACTTATTATAAGAAGCTCAAGATAGAATATCATCTGATATTGAGAACGCGACAAATTAATCAAAAAATCACTTACCTCAGATATTATATGAATCCAGATTACAATGGAAAATTGAAATATATTGAGGGAATGGATATAATAAGATTAGTGTTCAACAGATATCGACAGTCTGCATGGCGTAAGCCTGGAAAGCAGCTGTTTTCTGTTGAATCCACTGACAATCATTTTTCTTGAAAATGTTTCATGTGAGATTGTATTCAATGCGAAATATCGTTTTTTGTCCTTTCATGAACGTTGTGACAAAATATGTGTCTGAATTTACAAGCAGCTCAATCTTTCAAGTATTCAATGGCCACATTCTGAATCAGAAAATTGAAAGCCAATGCAGTCGGCTGACGACTTGCTATTAGGAAACCAGGCTATAACTACCTGACCAAAAACTTGGCCTCCACAGTTATTTTTTCCAAAAAATTTCCTTCAAGTACACGAATCTTAATAGATTCAGGCTCTCGTAAGTATTCAATTGTGCTCTTGCTACCAACATGGCCGCATTGAAATATAGAGAGGTCCGATAAATCTTTCCTTGTCTAACATCTAGTCTGCGCCACTGATGTGATACGTCTATGTCATTAAATGTCATCGACTGATAACATTTCTAATTTTTGAAATGAAATTTCAAAGAACATCATACTTATTTTGACATCATTTGTTAATATCGTTAAATTTGACACTCTGCTGAATTCAAAGATAGTTCAGTGGCACAAAGTAGATGTTAGACAAAGAAAGATTTATCGGACATCTCTATATTTCAATGCGGCCACGTTGGTAGCATTTGAGTCCATTTAGACATTATAGAATAGACTACTTACTTGTTATTGTAAAATAATTCTTGTACATGCGGAATAGCCAATTTCCCACTGAAAGTGTGCAATGAAAAAGAGAAAAAATTTAAATCTGTTAATTTTTTATTCCCATATACTATTCAGAAATTGAGATAACATAAACGACAATTATTTTTTCCTATGTCAACTTCCAATCTGATCACACGTTCATAATATTCCACATTCAACATGACCTGACTTTGTCAATAAACATATTTTTGTTGAATAACAACGTTTCCATCCTTTTTGGTTTCGTAAATTTCAAATATATTCATTGAGAATTTGGTTTATTAAATTAAACACCATGCAATGGTTTTAAATAAGTATATCTGAAGCGATTTTTCTTTCTATGGTTGTTTCATTTTTACAGCTCTCACCTTTCAACTTTTCCGAATAACATATTTTTCTACAGTTATGAGTTATATTTGTTCACAACCTCTCATGCTGTTTTCTTGTTATTGGTACTCTGTACATTGTATTGCCTTTATTGAAATTTTATGAAAGCTGTTGAGTTGTTACGATTTTGATGTGAATGCCAATATACATCTGAAAGACACATTTTGATATTAGCAGTGTTTTTTACAAGGACAAGAATTGGAAGGAAATTTTTTTAAAAGACAGTTTTCTCTACTTCTAAATCCATCCATTTGAATGTTTTAGAGAGTCAACTTTTTTCAATATTGTAATTCTTGATGTCAATTGCAATATTATTCGGATTTTTCGAGGTTATGTACTTAATTTTTGAAGTAGCCGTTTCTCTCTATTGAAAATGTACCTTCATTCTCCAGTGTTTCTATGTACCTACATTAAAATTCTTTCTCACAGTAGTATTATCTTTGTAGGTGAATCATTTTGTTTCATTTCATGATATAGATATTTATATTTTGTTTTCTATTTATTTTTTGTTCTAATGTGCCTGAAAAGTAAAATAAATTGAATTAATAAAAATAGTGTTCTCATTCAATTCGATTCAACTCATTCCCATATACATAGAAAAGGTAACTATTTCCAACTATTCACTGAATGAGGATATTCTATTGTGAACTTTTACTTTGGTATAAAATATAAAACAGAATTCGAGAATTTCTCATGATATACAGAGGTGTGCACAAAAAACGGCTAGAGGTCTAACTTCAGAATCATTCGATATCGAAATTTGAAATTTGGTGGGTAGCAACTATACCATATTGTTAATTTATTGACGAAAAAAAATCATACCATAACTTCCGGTCCAACCGGAAGTGACCCCAACTTTTGATTATCAAATGGAACCCCCTGTATATTTTTCCATTTTTAGATTCAGGGTATCATTTTACATACACCAGTAGTTTTTCTGGATCAATCATTATTATTTTCACTTGCATAGAAAGAGGGGCGATAAAATATTAATTACAACAAATGCTCAAATTGACCCCCATTTTGTGCAATGCATTGCTGACACCTTCTAGCTACACTAAAATTTGCGTTGTGTAAAAATGCTTGGGGTATATTGCGGCAAGCCTCTAATATTCGATGCCTGAGGATTTCTATATTCTCTGGCTGAAATAGATAAACTTGATCCTTCAAGTAACCCCAAAGGAAGAAATCCATGACTGTCAAATCTGGACTGCGAGCTGGCCACCGTATCGGTCCATTTGTTCCTATCCACCTTTCTCCAAAGTGTGTATTCAAATAAGTCACATTCAAACGCGTATTGTGTGGCGGTGCTCCATCTTGTTGGAAAATGACGAGGGGAAGTTGGTCCAGAAAATTTTCAATATAACCAGTAAGCAATTCAAAATACTTATACTGATCAAAAGAACCGTCGATGAAAAACGGGCCTACCAACATATCATCAAGAATTCCGCACCATACATTCAAGCTAAATCTTGTTGAAGTTGGTTTCTACATTACAATGGGGATTTTCTTGTGACCAACATCTGTGATTTCGTCTATTGAAGATGCCATTTCGCCCGAATGTGCATTCATTTGACCACATATATGTTTTTTCAAAATAGAAAGAACTGTTCTTCGTGACGTACCAAAATCATTTGCAATCTTAATTGTACATGTCCTGGGCGTTTCTTGTACACTGAGTAAAACATTCAATTCCAAATCTGCATCAAACTCTTGCTGTTGTTTCTTTGGTTTTTTGAAGCTACCAAATTGATGTAGATTAACTTCCAATCTGCCAAATTTCTGATGGCTCGGATATCTGTTTCTAAACACGAGCAGCATCGTACGAATTCTTCAAACATTCAAAATAAACTTGTAACATATTGGTTAACTCATTATTATTCATGTTTATAAAATAGAAAATATCATCACCCGTATTGAAACTTATTATTGAATGTTACTGTCTCATTGAAATTGACTTACAAGGCTACCTAGATCTTGATTACTATTACCAATTAATGGGCAATGTGGAAAGATAAAAACGAATTAAAAAAATTCCTCTTGACATTTTGATCCGGAAAAACTACTGGTGTATGTAAAATGATACCCTGAATCCAATAATGGAAATATACTAGGGGGTTCCATTTGAAAACTAAAAGTTGGGGTCACTTCCGGTTAGACCGGAAGTGATGGAATAATTTTTTTTTGTCAATAAATGAACAATATGGTATAGTTGCTACCCACCAAATTTCAAATTTCGATCTCGAATGATTTAGAAGTTACAGCTCTAGCCGTTTTTTGTGCACACCTCTGTATGTCAGAATATGATTATTTCCGGCTAGACTTATTAATAATGTGTTTATACCTATGTCAATTCGATTTCGTATATTGTGATCATATCGTGATGTGATATGCGATATTTCAAACAATACATTCACATTATCTCACCCTCTACAGTTTATGGTGAAACAGATTACATACAGTATGAACAGGGTGATCACAGTTCCTTTTCGAAGACAGAAACTATCACCACAGTTGACAGTATATATTCTCTCAACTGTGCTATCACTGTCAGTGATAGTGATTCAGATAGTCAATACATAATTATAAGCAGGCTGATCTACGCTGGAGTGCGAAAAAAAATTTATAGATCATCCATATTTCTGGCTAGGTAATTCATATCTGAAGGTGTATAAGTGATAACTATTTTATCAACATTGAGTTATTATTATACATTTAAAAAAAATTTAATCCCCTGAATTAACTCGTCCAAAGATAATGTTACAATATATTTTTATTACATTAGGTGATTGATTTTTTTCAAGTAGTTCATAACTCCACTTGATCATTGAACTGAATAATAATCAAATTGAAGGGAGTATCAAACCTATATCATATAATTATTGTTTTTAGAAACATGTTTAGTCTTGGTCGTATGAATGACAATGACTGATTATCCCAGATATACGAACGGAAGACAAGTATATTTGGAAAAACATAGGAAACTTCTAGCTAGTATCAATTAAAATGAAAATATTTTTACAAATTACAGCAATATTTTCCATGATAATCTCCAAGAAAAAGCGTGTCCCATTCAAGGCTGTTTTCTTTCAGAAGTAGTTGGGTATATTTTTTCGACTTTTTTTACCTTCATGAGGTCAGTCAACAATTCTGAGCATGTCTAATAGGGAAAAAAATCTGGGGTGTAAGGGGGGTGGTGGTAAATATATTTATAGAAAAATAAATGAACATATTTTTTCGTAGGGATTTCTTGTGTAGAATGATTGTATCTTTTCATTTGAATTGACGTATTTTGGTTATAAAATCTACAGGTATCTTAGGATAAATTTATTCTTTATCAATGTCATAATTTCCGTATATAATTTGGCATTAATCTCGAACATTTTCCTTCCAAAACTCCATAGAACGGCAATAATTTGAAATCATGTGCTTATGGTAACCTCTAATAGTTGAAATAATTCAATACCCACCATTTATTCCCATTTCATCTGCTGGAAGACAGCTAGATCCAAAAAAGGAAACAAGAACCTGCCCAACAACTACAGGCCTATTGCCCTGTTATCAGTAATCTCCAAAGGGATGGAGAAAGCCATCAATATTGAGCTTACCAAATATCTGGAGAGCTCAGGAATCATCAATGATAGACAACACGGCTTTGGCCACCGAAGATCTACTGGAGATCTACTTGCCTACGTCACCCATTTATGGCAAGTTTCATTAGAAAAACACAGGGAATCTCTAGCTGTCGCGTTGGATATATCGAAAGCATTCGACCGTGTTTGGCTTGAAGGACTCCTCCACAAACTACCATCATACGGCTTACCACCTCAGCTATCCCATCTCTTATCGAGTTTTCTTTCAGGCAGATGGTTTCACGTGGTGGTGGACGGTGTATCGTCTGACACCATTGGCAACAACTCTGGCGTTCCGTAAGGATCAATTTCGGCACCAACATTATTCCTTCTCCATATTAATGATCTGTTGGGAGTAACAATTCGCCACATCCACAGCTTTGCAGATGATAGTACCCTCCATACTGCGTTTTCTTCCAGAATTCCCATTTCTTCCCAGGGAACTAAGAACTGACGGCGCAGGCAGGTCAATGCTGTCAATGAAGACCTTGCTGAAATCACAGCCTGGGGAACCAACAACCTAGTTGAATTCAACGCCACCAAAACTCAAGCCTGTATTTTCTCTAGAAAGGCGGAACTCAGTATGCTCGATATTGTAATGTCTGGCACCACCATCCCCACCAAGCCCACCATGTCTATGCTCGGTGTTTCCATCAGCAACACTCTTTCATGGGATAATCATGTCAGATCCATCGCAAAAGCTGCTTCACAAAAACCTGATTCTTGTTCCGTGCGAAAAGCTACTTTACACCTCAACAGCTTCTCATGATCTACAAAGCGCAGATACGGCCTGTTCTAGAATACTGTTCCCACATATGGGGTTCAGCACCAGAACATACGCTGATGCTCTCAGATTCCATCCAGAGAAGTGTCATTCGCCTGGTGGGTGACGTCACACTCACTCACTCTTTGACATTATTGGAACACCGTAGAATGGTCGGCGACCTTTCACTTTTCTATCGATACTTCCACGGGAAATGTTCTTCGGAAATCTCTTCTAACATCCCTTCACTAGCAGTACCAGTCAGACTAACAAGACAATCCCAGTCAGCACATCCTTTCGTTGTCAACCTCTAAAGATGTCGAACAGCACTTTATCAAAACTGCTTCATCCATAGAACGGCTAGGCTCTGGAATTCATTGCCTGAGGAAGTTATCCCAACAACATATAATCTCCAGAAGTTCAAAAAAATTCCAATACCTACCTCCTGTCCCTATCCTGCCTAGGAACGCACGATGTTCCTTGAACATTATAGGGATTTCCTTTCGTGCGCTCCAAGCGATAAAAAAATCCTCTCTAGGTAATCACGATGATTCACGAACGTGATAGGGATTCTTTCTCGTGAGGTCCAAGATATTGAAAAAAAAAACACTGTCAAATATTAATCATCTTTATATTCAAACATGACAATCTCCTTCCGTACAAACATTAATTCGATTAGTTGAAGAACTAACCTGGATTATTCCTGATGTCAAATTGAAATGGAAGCCTGTTGGACATTTCAGTATCGCAGGAATCCCCGAATTGCAAAAAACATATTTCTGGCAGTCACAAAAATGCGGTTTGTCATACATTATCTCCGGATATTCACAATAACCATCTGGTGGCTCGATTAGGTGTTCGTAGTCACAACGTCTAGTTTTATGATTGAAGAATAAGTTACTTGGGCATGAAAAAGTATAAACTCTGTCTTCTACACATACTCTGAATCTGCTGCAATCAGTAGGGTCTGAGCGGAAAATTCCATTTTCGGGACATGGAATTTCTGTAAAAAAAACGGTGTGTGAAACATTTGCAGATATCACATGTGAAATTCTTGGGAATTTGGGTTTTCACCATCAATGCGATTGGAAAATTAATATTCATTTTCTGCAACCGACTCAAAAGAGAAACAATAATAGGTATATTGATAGGCAACACTTGTAGTAACTAGTTGAATAACTCCCAGGAACTAGAAAGGATGTACTACTGTACTAGGTCATCAAGAATAAACTACATAAGTAGGTTAGTATCATTTTAGAATGTATCACAAATTGATATTCATCATACAAGACGTGAAAAGGAATTCTGATATAAGAAAACCCAATCACGAATCTTTGATAAGAGGTCTATAAAAATAACAATAAGTTTCCATCGTTCAAGTTTGAACCCCTTGATTGGGTATGAAAGTATTGAAAAGAAATACTCTCAGACATTATGAACCTAAAAAAATGGATTTATATATAAAGAAATACATTGAGAATTCGCATTCTCTATGTGATGAAAATAATAATTCTTTTTCGGGTTATTCAACAGAAAACATCTACTGCTACGACGAACATTGATTGAACACACTCGATAAGAATCTCAAAATAAAATCTTCTGAAGTTACATTCTCCTTCAGATAAAAATATACATGCTTTCTGAATATTCAACAGGGAACAACTGATTTCCTGGCTATTCGCCACGTCGAACATTAAATTATGTCTGTTGAACATTCAAAAACAGAACATGAAAATAAATTGACATTCTCTTTCAAATCTGGTAAATAATATGATTCATAATGATACAAAAATATAACTTATCAATTCTCAATTTCAGTAAATTTTATTTTCGGGATTCCCTCTTTGGATGTTCAACAGACATAATTCAATGTTTGACATGGCATATTAGCCAGGAAAGTAGTTGTTTTCTGTTGAATATATCGATAAAGAGTTGATATATAAACACCACAAAAAGAATGCGAATTCTCAATGTATGTCTTTATACAGGGTGTTCCGAAACTATTGTTTATATATCCATTTTTTTGAATTCCTCAAATATATATGAGAATATTCCTTTTTAATCTTTATTGGCCTAGTAATGCAGTAAATATTTATGATCAGTTGTCGACAAATCAGGATTAAAGTCAGGCTTATCAAAGAGAGAGGTAATTCCCCAATATAATTTATGAATTCACCTAAACTAAAATAGGTAATCCTTTGAGATATAATTTATATTTGATGAAACTTACAGTTCGATAACATACCAATAAATCAAAATAATTTTTTCTGAGATTTGGAAGAAGTCACAATAATAGAATCCTCACGTTTTGCATGTTTTAGAGAACAAAGTATTTATATATACAGGGTGTTTCATAATTGAATGCTGATCCTTAAGGGCGATAATCCTTGGATGATTTCAAAGAGAAGAGTTCATATCAACATATGTCCTAAACCTCTTAGTTATTGAGCTACAGGGTGATGAAATTTCAAGAAAAACATGAGTTTTTCATCATAATTTTTTATCACTCTTAGATATTGTTATGATATTTTGTATACACCTTTTCATTGTTAAGGAGCATTTTTTCACGTGAAAGATATTTAAAAATTCTCACCAGTGGCGTCCGTACGGGGTTTGAACTGACAATTTTTGAAGAAAAAAATAGTACGCCACTGATTTTTCTGAGAACCAGATTTTTTTTTTCAATTCTTATTCATTATGGAGCAAATTTGGTTCCCAGACTTACTTTCATACAACGTACCGTTTTCGCGTAAAAAAATAAAAACCAAAGAATTTTGTTCTTTCAGTTCTTGGATATTGTTTTTGGTAATTCAGTAGACACCCACTATAAGTGGAAACACATTTTGTTTTGGGACGAAAATCAAACTTTTACTTTCACCAGTGATGTCCTCGTAGACGTGATATTGAATGTTTAGTTTGAAAAAACGCTGTACGCTTCTTATTTCAACACCCTGTAGCTCAAAGACTAAGAGGTTCAGGACATATGTTGATATGAACTTCTCTCCTTAAAATCATCCAAGGATCATCGCCCTTTAGGATCAGCATTCAATTATGAAACACCCTGTATATTGTCATTCGAACTTATACTGACCCCACAGATTTTTCTACCCTAACCCAGAATATATCGGGTGTCTCGTTATATTTTGACCCTCCCACCTACAGCTTCAACTATACGTGGTGGAAAAAACTCAAAATATGTTTTTATTGATTCATATATAATGCTGATCGCAAAATGAAAATAAGAGTCCGAATCAGTTTGTTTTGAATGAAACACCTTGTATATTTCCAACTGTTGTAAATAATCTTGTTCTTCTGTTCACAAATATACAAGGTGTTTCATTAGTACGTGCAAACCATTCAGAAGCATGTTGCTGACTGCAAAATAAGAAGAAAATATTTCTGAATGAAATATCTTTCTGGAAAAATAAACTGGAAGTTTTTTTTTCAGTCCGACCTCTGAAACGTTATCATCAAATTTGTACGGCAGCGACATGATTGTTTGAAACACTTGCAGGTCACTGATGATGATCAAAAAAATCTCAAAACGTGACTTACAGTCACAGACCATGCCATGCCTAAATTATTAAAATCGATCTTAGCCTACTCTTTTTATGAGCATAATTATTTTTTTCCCAAAAAAAACTTCAACGCCTTGTACCAAGTCAATGAGACTATTTTGTATATAGGTAAGTTGGCCTAAATCAACTTGTTTTTATCCCAGGAGTCCACAGCCGTGCCATGTTCCATCTTTTTATCTTCATAATTTATCTGAGAATATTCCTTCTCAATACTTTCACCCAATCAAGGGGTTCAAACTTGAACGATGGAAACTTGTTTGTTGTTTTTATAGACCTTTTATCGCAGATTCGTGATTAGTCTTTCACAATTTAGGATTTTTTTTCACGTCCTGTATGACGAATATCAATTTGTCATACATCCAAAAACACTTATATACTTTTGATATATATTTTTTATGTAAAGAGATATGGACTCGTATTTTCAGGAGCGTCTCAGATTCTGATCCAATTGATAAATATTGATAGTACAATGTATTGGTTCGATATGAAACCTTGCTGGCTCGACCATGAAATAGAAGAAAACAAGAGAATCGGAAGGTTTGTGTTCACGAGTCACCACCATGGTCACACCACTATGAATTCACAGGACTTCAAAAAGGAATAAACATAATATTTTATAGAAACTTAAAGATTCGTTCTTCTACTCAATGAGTCGAAAGAAGGTGCTTGCTACCTCATTTGAGGAAACAAAGCAGTCAAATAAATCTCACCGAAGGAAAAAAACATTACCTTCCGTGGGTGGTAAAATAAATTGACGTAAGTATATGTTACCTTGCGTTCTGTTTTATACTTATAAGATCAGTGCAATCCAAGTAATCATCAATGTCTTCGTCACTATTACAAATCAAATAACTCGAATAACATTCTACTATTCGAATTTCAATGATCTTATACACTATTTCTCTTTTTCCAAACGTAGGTACCTATGCTTAATCAAAACGTTCGAATAATGAAGTTACACAATATGAAGTCATAAGGACAGGAGTGTCAAATTGATTTTCGTTGTTTCAAATATCGAATATCATGGGAGAAAATAAGGTTCATATTTCCTCTCATGTGTGTTTAGTGCCCTCGGCTTGGCGTCGGGCATCAAATTTCATACGCTCCCTCAATAATTGATATCTAAATATAGTTATTATCTTGATGATCAGTTTATTCTCACCTGTTGATAAAAATTTAGGAAGACTTCCATCAGTAAGAATGCCTTGAGAATAGGTCAACACCCAAATGGCTCCGAATAGTAGGTACAATTTCAACACCATTTCTGCTCTCGAATAGAGTAATGTTGATGTTGAATTAAATGTGGTGGTATTGATTGGATCAGTAGTAGACTGGATTAATACATGTTGGCTATCTTGATAAGATTAGGAAAATATGATGATCATTTCTCAAGTTGTCAGATATTTGTGAGACAGGAAAAAACTGGAAAGGGATACAAAGAAATAAGTCGGTCCAATAAGAAATGAACATGTGATTCCTGCTTGGTAACATCACCAAACATAACAGAGACGTTTATGTTCGGTGATAACACGAATTGAACGACTGTATATTTCTTGAAAATTCCAAATTGACAAGATAATAATTGTCTAGTTGAAAGTGACAATGCATCTTCATTTCATTTCAAGTTTGAGAAGTACAGGAAGGTGTTTACCAATTTTTCTACAACCTTTTGAGAAAAGATGTGAGGTCATATTATGATACTTACAATCGAACGCCAAAGGTTGTGATGATATGAACATTAAACCAATTAAAATGTGTTGTCCACATATGTATCACCCACATTGTAAATTTTTGTTCAACTCATATCGTATTCCCAGCGATGTGGGGGAGAGCAGTGGTGAGAGTACTACCAAAAATATCCAATCCAACTGAATATAAATATCTGCGTGCAATTATACTGATGTCTTACCTACTTCATCAAATATCTTCGAACGAGCAGTTGAAGAACAGCTGAGAAATCATCTCTCAAAGTTTTCTCTACTTCCAGAAACACAGTCCCAGGTAGAACACTAATGTTGGTTTAATATTGAACCAATACCTATATAGTGAATGTTGATGGTGAAATATTGATTTTAAATATCAGGCCAATGAATCAATGTGAACATTCTGGAATCTTGGTGCTATGTTGAATTTAAATCTTGTTTCGATACGCTCTGTCCAATATCGAGTTTATATTCGTATACAGGATTGAACAATAAAGATATGATGCCAACTCATAGAACATATCGTGATATTGTCACGAGTAGAACATACGGTATATCAGTAATTTCGAACCATGAGGGTTTTATAAACATAAAGTAAATCAAATCATCCGTTGACATTGAATTATAAAAACTGACCAAGGAACTCTCATGAGAAACGTGCATTTCTAATAAAATGATGTATATAAATATTGGAAGTGAGGGTTCCGAAGTTAGTCTGGTCTGGGGCTACTCTTGACTTGACAAGAGCTCGTCGTAATGGTCGTTATAATGTAAGTTGTTATTAGGTCTTTATATTCATTGTTGTTTATTCATAATTGTTATCGCTACCCATAATGTTTCATGCATGCTTCAATAAATATTGTTATGTTTGAATATAATCTCATACTTTCAGTTACCCCTGAACTATTAGTGCCTATTTGAATATTACCTCTCGCAAAATATTAAGCCAAGCATTACCCTTTATAAATCGAACATGGTAAATCACCTATTTTATCGAGACATGGTTATTAATTAATATTAATCTACTTTGTTGTGACATGGTGGAGGCGCCTAAGCTTCTTTCCTTGAGTCTCATTCCTCATAATGGACTCATAAATTTTTTTTGCATTCATCGATTCATGTCAATTTTATATTTCATACAAAGGCACTACTAGAAAGGGTTATTTGAAAGTAATTAAGTATAGCAGCATGAATTATGGGTGATAACAAAGTAAGAAAGTCATTTAAATCAGAAATCCAATTTTTTTCAATATTTTAAATACCAGTAAGCTTGAATAACAATCTTTCCATTTCTATTCAAAGATATGATATAAAGCACCGGACCAGACTCACAAAGTTTGGAGCTTATCTCTGAACTTTGTTATTTTTTGTTCTCTACTTTCTATTTGAATTTGGGAACAAGTTTTTTCTATATCTCATTCTTGCCAGTTTTTTTTTATTTCTCATATCAAGATAATTTCAAATATTTTTATATAAAGTTGATAAAATCATTCAAGAAATGCAATGCCAATGCCATGAACACCTATATCAATTGAGAATATAATGAGTAATTCACAACGTGCCTATAGTTTTATAACAATACGAAATGAAAACAATAATAACAAATCATCGTGCTCGATATAATTCATAATAAATTTCAATATTAGTGCGAATGCAAATAATTAATAATTCAAGTGATAGTTGAGAATGTTTCGATTCAAAATATCTTAGTCAGTATATATATGACCTTTCAAATATTGAAAATACTCTTAAACGTTGATATCGTTCACCATTTTTTGTCATTCCTCCTGAAATGAATTATACGCAAATATGATATTATTATGTTATGGAAATATGATATGAAATGAATTAATTGAGCTCAAGAATATTGATGTGTATGTAAACTCTCAATGAAGAGATTGTTGCTTGGTTACAAGTGTTAACCGTTTCCGTACAGAATAAGCACAGCGTCTCTCGTGGTCCTAGCCAAACCACATCCAGAGAAGTAGCTGTTTGGTTGATATTCTTAAAAGTACGAAGTGTTATAGTTGAAAGTGTGCACTATAACAGAAAAAAGGAGGGAATCCTGGAAGATGTGCCACACTAAGGCATGAAGGATTAACCTTACTGAAGATATTTTGTCCTCGAATTGATAGGACATGAAATGATGATTTTATGTGAAATAATGAGCTCGTATATGATGATAATGTATATTTATGAATTATGAAGATGATTATAATGATATTTACCCCCGGGGATGATTTTCCGAAAATGGAAAATATTTGCGAGTTGTTAGACAAAGAAATGTACGGTCTAGTTCTAACAAAATTGTAGGAATGAGCATGCGGTATTTAACAGGAGTATTTTCAATCAATTCAATAATGTTTGAGTGGAAAAATATCACAAAATAGTTCTCAATGTTATTATCATTAGGTAGGTAATAGCTTGAATTTATCGAAATAACTGAAATAAGGAAATGCAGATTTTTCAAATATAATAAACGCCAATGTATTTGTGTAACCGGTTACACCAAAGATAAATAAATAAATCGAATAAAGTTCTGATAATATTTCATATTAAACAAAAAATAATCTCAAGGGCCCTTGAGTCAAAATATTGCTCAAAGTACATGAAAGTACCAATTCTCGGACGTTTCATCAGTTTATTCAAGCTGCCAACAATGAGTTGTCAGATGAATATCCTTTTGAATCTTACGAATTGGACATGGAATGTCAAAAATGATCAATATGTAAGCATGAAATAACATGGTAATGATTTCGATTATATATTCATCAGATAGGTAATTTTATTTTAATACAATTTTTCAACGAAAAGGCACGTTGGTTTTTTTTTTGACATGACTCTAATTATTTTTTAACCATAAGTTCAATTCACCTGTTAATATAAATAATTTTCAAATGGCAATATTGACAAATCATTTTTATCTCAAACTCAAGAAAGATCACTTATTACAGAAAATGCATTCAAATTCATTGAGTAATTAAATCGAATGGAAGCCTATCGGAAAATTCTTCATAATTTCGCACACATACGAAAATCACAGGTATAGGTAGGTAACTCAAGATTTATTTTTTATTCATTCACTCAATCATTCAATTTAAAAGCGCGACACTATTTGCAATGATTTTTTTTCCCAGAAGAAAAAGACGCATTTCAAATTTCCCTGAAATGAACAAGAACTTTCCAACAATTCTTATGTTTTATAATATCGCTTACTAGGTTACTAGTAGTATTAAAATTCGAACTCGATTATGTAAATAATCATGAACTTGACACTTGGTTCAAGTTGCAAGTTGATGATGATATAACATTTCATACACAAATAGGTTTAATAATGAATAACGCTCCAAATAACATAGAAAAGGTAGATACATATATTATTAAATTATGAAAATCGAACATCAATAATAGGTTTTGAATATCACGGAGTTATTTTTGATTTTTTGGAAATAAAATAGGTAGAGGAATCGGTTGCTCAAATAGCGTACGATGTGATTGCAGTACCTCTGTAATGTAAATATATATATATGGAATAAATCAATGTAAATTAGGACGGATTTTTGAACTGGAATCCATATTCATGGAGTTTAAATAAAGTAGGTATATACATTTAATAGATCTCACAATAGGCTAATCATATTCTAGTATAGGTTATTTGAACTATTCATTGAATAATAATAGAGTTATCGAAGAGTTACCCATTTTAATGTAAATAGTAACGTAGGTATTTGACAAACAATTTTTTTGCATGTATTCACGGCATCATACAAAACAATGCACGCACACTGAGTACTGGCATACAACACTCATCAAGAAATCAGACACCCAGGGGGATGCAGCCATGCAGCCAAATGGCCAAACATGGACAAACCAAGGACTGTTTGATTGTACAACATGATTCGATGGTAGCTGGGTAGCCCAGGAACGAAGAGGAAATAAGTGGGAATGCTACAAGTTGTGAATAGCTCCTAGAAATTTGACGTTGGGAGACCACGAAAATCATTCCACGAGATTCCTGATCAGCCCCTGATATGACGGTAATTTGTCGTTGCCGCCCATGGACGTCTACTAGCTTCATTGAGACGAATGGACCAGGATGTTGTGCCATCATGACAACAACTGCCCATCAGTCGTCATTCGCTACCCCAAGCAGCCAGCAGTTCCCTTCGTTCAGCTGCCAACTACCTCGAATGACATAGGAAATCTCATCCCAATGCCCAGGACAAGGATACCTTCGAGCCCAAAAGGATCCTGCCGGTATCCCCATGACGATTGGAGGATGCCATGCCCAATCGTCATTCCCTACCCCGAGCTGCCAGAAGTCCCACCGAGAAGAGTCTGATTGAAATGCTTTAGTTGAATAGCCAGTGCCGGACTTAGTAAAGGTGTGAGTGTGCATTGTAGACACTAAACTTTTGAGTGTGTGAACTCACTTTTCAAGACTTATTGATTTTTGTCATCTGAGTTTTTTATGTATAGGTTCTCCTCGATATATTTAGATAGGTGATAATTTAAAAACTGGGGTCCAGTTTTCTCGGAGAGAGGGGTCATGTCACGAGTAGAACATACGGTATATCAGTAATTTCGAACCATGAGGGTTTTATAAACATAAAGTAAAT